TTCTTCTTGTGACTGACGTGACAGAAACACCCTCACTCTTGTCAGCTTGCCTGTGTCCAACTATTGGAATGATGACTGATCTCAGGAGAGCAAAGAATGCCTTATTGGATGGACTGCCCAACAGTCCCCACAGTAAGCCTTTTCTCAAGAGACGATGCCTCAGTGATGTGAGTATTTTCACTCGCTGGAAGTGAGAGATTCTTCTCGCTCCAGTTATTGTTGCTTGTTTAATTCTTAAGGTAGCTTAGAGGCAATGGAATATGTGTTTGTGGCTGCAGGACAGTGGATATTAGATTTGTGTACATTGCAGAGTCAGACACACGCTCCACTGATCTAGATATACTCCATAAAGACAGAATATGCAGTATTTGTATGGGAGAAGCTGCATACAGCAAATACTTTTGGTTTGCCTGATGACGAACGGAAAATACAGTAAAACGAATCTGTAATAATGATGCTATTCTTATTAGGACATACATCTACATATCTTGAGATTATTGTCATAATGCACAATAGCTACAGTGTACTTTTGGCAATGAAAATATTGAGACCCAGGCTCCTCCAATAATGTAGTATAAATAAACATAAGACATAAACAATAAAAATAGTGCAAGAACTAACAGAAATAGAAAATAATTTGACCAATTGCCAAGTAGATGCAGAAACAACTAAGCTATATATACATTTAAAATAGAATAAGATTTATAAACACAGAATGTAAAATGAAATCCTACACAATGGAAAATGTTAAAGTAAATAAATATATGAGCTGTAAAGAGATGAATGCTTTAAACATATGAAGGTGAAGGCACTTCACCGAGCTCTTTAACCATGTTTTGGCCTGTAGAATAAAACTGTCTTCATAATCCCGGAAAGCATTGCTTCCCATTCTCTCTGTTACTCTGTGGTTCACTCCTAATTTGGTCATCATAAAACATGATATGTCTCTTTCAGTTTATTTGGCAGTCAGGAGATCAGTATTTACCCTGATATCATGTTGCAGTTTATTTTACCATGCAACAATAGACTCACAGCCACACCTTTAGCAATACTAGGTCACAGTCAGGTGTGTTCTTTTATGGATGGTTATACTGTAGGTGTAGGAACGCCTAAGTGCATGCATGTGTTGAAATGTTTATACGGACATAAAGTACACGCTTTCCCGTGCTTTTCCCGTAAGCTGTCATGTGAAAAAATCAGCTGGGCACTTTTGTTACATGGTGAACAGAGGGCTCACACCACCACATGCACTGCTGTCAGGGCTGCTGCAAGATTGGTGTTAAGTGGGGTGGGGGATGCGTTAAGCCCCTGTCACACTGTCCCGAAATTGACACCAGATGGACACACGATAAAGGAAATGTTCAAATTCGGCTCTGATCGTAACAACATCGGGCCATTCGTGAGGGCATCTTAAGCCTTCGTATGACCGCCGGCGGAGTTTCTCAGGCTCCGGCAGCAACTTCGTGAGTGGTGGCAAAATCTTTGGCATGCCAAAAAAATGCCGAAGGACCTTGCGAAGGTTAATTTTCGTGTTGAATTTGTGTGTCCATTTTGCCCTTCGTAAGGCACTCGTGAGGGCATCTTGTCAAATCGTGTCATCTTCGTCTGATCACTGGTGCCATCGGGCATTTTTCGCCTCACAAAGACAATACGAAGGAAACAAGAAGCTGCCCGATTGTCTTTGGAAGGCAACACGACTACGTGAAGCCTCGCAATGCCGTCGTGTAGCCATCGTATTATAGTACGATGACATCGAGATTGCATTTATTGCACAACAAAATCATGTAAACATATTATGTAAATAACCCAATTTGTGTTCTGTGAAACTGAAAAGGATATTACGTTGTTTTCGTTACTTTCGTTGCAGTTGTATGTCTTAAATGCAATTTAGGTTAACTTCCTGTTTTATTTAGATGCTTTTATTTTGAAGGTGAGTTTACGCTGTTGACAGGAAGTTGTTGTTGTTGCTATGGAAACAACATGACGGAGATAAGTAATATCTTCTAATCTACATATAAAGACGGAGAAAGTAAAGAATAAAGTGTATGTTTAAATGTTAGCACCCCCCGAAGAGGCACAAGCTCTTACGTTGAGTCTGGATACATTCTAAATCATCAGAATTGCTTCGGCTGTTGCTTCATGCTGACCAAGTTCGGGTGCCAGCTTTGTGCGAAATTCACAATTCCATATTCGTGTGTCCATCTGGTGTCAATTTCGGGACAGTGTGACAGGAGCTTTGAGGACCGTCTCTCAATGTGAAATTGGGAATTAGAGGGCGTCAAACATTCCAACAGGATGTCTTGCCAGCTTTTGCATTGAGCAAATATTTCAGAGAAAAGCTTATCAACACAACTTTCATACCCATGTCCCTTTTTGGATCTGTGTCAACTCTCTTTCCCAGACCTCGGACCTGTTTGCCATGATCGAGAGAATGCAGGTATTGTAAGGAACCTTGGCTCTGCCTTATTTACTTGCTGCCTAAATTGGCAGTTCTTCCTAACTCTAATCAAAAGGCAGAATTTCTCTCGTTTGAAAAATACATTTCCCATTAACTTCTATTTCGAGACTCCATTCGATGCTTTCCCTGAAATGTTTGCATTCCAGTCCACAACCCTGCTTCAGCAACACTTAAATGTGTGTGTCCTGAATTCTTCCCTTTGACATTAATGTATTTATTTTATTTTATTTGTAGCGATGAAAGCCCTAGGCGGTTTTTTGAAACATGATGCGTATTAACTGCTGAACAGAGCCTTTGTGTTATCTCTTCACAGTTTTGTGGTTTTGTGTGCGTCACTAGATGTATGAAATGTTGTTAGAGATTTCAAGGAATGTAGTTTTTTTACAATCCATTAATGAGAGATACACAAACCAGACTCAACTATTTGAATGTGCTTTGATATGGTATCATTAATGTTTAAGGCTTCAACACATTTATATTCCTTTTCATTTGGAATTACTTGGTCTGTAGATTTACAAACCAGAGTTGTTTATACAATAACATATCTTCTTAGTTGTCTATCACTTAATGGAAATTAACTCGAGACTCAAGCAATACTGTTTCAGGGTCAAATCAACATGATCCGGAAACACTTTTTAAAGGGGCCCTAATATGCTAATTGGGAGTGTGTGGGAGAGAAATTCCTTTAGGAACTTTAGAATTTTAGCCTTTACAGACCATTTACATGCACAAAAATCTATATAACCCACTACAGGAAAGGGAAAACCCCAACAAGCAATATAGGGCCCCTTTAAATCCAAATTGTATTCTAAGTTAAAGGTGGAAAAGAAAAATGTTGAAAGACACAAAGCATGATTAGGGATAAGAATATGTAAAACATTGGAGAGGCTCACAACATCTTTCTGAAGCGCTTCTGCCAGAAGAGGAATCACAGGCATAGAAGGCGTTATGTCTAGACGTGAATATATGTGTTACTAATGCATTCATTTTAATTGTAATGCCTTAAGTGTTTCTGAGCTACTCTGTGATTGTTGGGTGGTTGATACCATGTTTATTTAGTTTACTTTGTTTCTTAAGTGCATGAGCAGCACTACTGAGCTGCAGACAACAGTGGCATATTTCATTATTAGTAAGGCACTTCCTCCAACATGTAAAGGGAATAAGGGAGGAAAAGAGAGCAGTGGAAGACTCTTCAAAGAATAGATTTAATGAAAGCATTTCAAAATTCCATTTGATTCGTCTTCCTTGGTACTAAACAGGGTACATTAAATGTGATACGACTCAAATCTTGCTGCAGGGTATTCCACACAAAGAGGCCACTGATCAGGAATGCTTTGTTCCTCGTCTCTCTCTGTGCTTTGGGAACTGTCAGTAGTTGTGAATCAACAGAAAAAGCACAGATAGAGTAGATAAAAAGCGCTGTTTTGGCATTTTTTGGGCTGTTAAGTGGAATTGCAGTTAATGATATCTGAAGTACGGCTTGATGGAAACACATCCCCTGTTCTCATGGACCTCTGCTTATCTTTTTCACTCGCTGTAATCCCCAAGATATAACTTCTATTTACTTCCTCTTTCTGTGGCCCATCTGGTGATCTCCTGCAAGAACCAATCAAACATGTTCTGTGTAAACGTCTCTTTGTTTAACTACACTGAACAAAAATATAAACGCAACACTTTTGTTTTTGCTCCCATTTTTTATGAGATGAACTCAAAGATCTAAAACATTTTTTATATACACAAAATAACCATTTCTCTCAAATATTGTTCAAAAATCTGAAAACAATCTGTGATAGTGAGCACTTCTCCTTTGCCGAGATAATCCATCCCACCTCACAGGTGTGGCGTATCAAGATGCTGATTAGACAGCATGATTATTGCACAGGTGTGCCTTAGGCTTGCCACAATAAAAGGCCACTCTGAAACGTGCATTTTTGCTTTATTGGGGGGGTCCGAAAACCAGGCAGTATCTGGTGTGAGGGGTAGGGGTAGGGTTAGGGTTAGGGTAATGTTGTCAATCGAGTGGCCTGTGTTCGTCGTCCATTATATACGCCTGCCCATACCATAACCCCACCACCACCATGGGCCACTCGATTCACAACATTACCCTAACCCTAACCCTACCCCTACCCCATACCCCTCACACCAGATACTGCCTGGTTTTCGGACCCCCCCAGACCCCCCCAATAAAGCAAAAATGCACATTTCAGAGTGGCCTTTTATTGTGGCAAGCCTAAGGCACACCTGTGCAATAATCATGCTGTCTAATCAGCATCTTGATACGCCACACCTGTGAGGTGGGATGGATTATCTCGGCAAAGGAGAAGTGCTCACTATCACAGATTTTTTCAGATTTGTGAACAATATTTGAGAGAAATGGTTATTTTGTGTTTATAGAAAATGTTTTAGATCTTTGAGTTCATCTCATGAAAAATGGGAGCAAAAACAAAAGTGTTGCGTTTATATTTTTGTTCAGTGTATATGTGGACTTTCGTGTGGGTATATCACAGTTTCCCTCAATATCCTATCATTTTTCTCTCTACAGGGTTGCAGAATGGATGAGCAAAGATGCCCCCTGCCTCCCCCCCTCAAAGTGAGTCACAACTCCTCATAACTCCTCATAGGCCTCAGTCTGGTAAAGCATCTGTAATGGTAGAGTTATAAACCTTTCCTTATCAGCTGTCAGACAGGCCTTAGGATGCTCACCATCTGAGTTAGGAACTCAACGGGACTAGGACTGTAAAATCCTAAACTGTCCTAATAAACAGACAGCAGAATGCAGTTGGCAGTGAAGACTGGGAGGTACTCTTAGCATGATACTCGAGGTCAAGTCAGAAACGGAAAACAATCGATAAGAATCATCTAAAATAAGAAAATATAAACATTTATTGCTCGGAACTGACAACAATAAAGTATCTTGGTGAAAGTTTGGCTGCTTTGTGATATGTTTAATGTGGTTTTGGACTCTATTATGCTTATATTCTGGATCAAATTTGGATTGTGTGCTTCTAATGTGTCATGTTTACATGCTTTAATGTTCAACCCTCACCCTCTGTCTGAAACCAGAGCACAGTCTGCTGTAATTGGTTAGCTGGCCCGCTTTGTTGTGATTGGTCAAACCGCTCACAGATGTCCCGCCCCTAAGCCTATCACATACAATGTGTTTGAGCGCTAGCCAGTAGAAGTACAATTGTTATGCAGTGATGTTACTGTACTAGTCATGTTGCGTAACTAAACAGAGAGCTACAATTGTGGTGTTTCATGCACAGGGGAGTGTGTGGGTGAGAAACTCCCTCTTGGGGGAGCTTTGGGATTTTAGCCTTTGCAGACCATTTACATGCAAAAAAAAACCTAAACAAGACACTTCACGAAAGAGAAAACCCCAATAAGCATAAAAGGGCCTATTTAAAGGCTCTTATGAAGAAAATTCTACAATTCGGTTGGCATCAACAATTTCTGCAAAATGCCACTCAACAAATGAGCTATAAATGATGCACACTATATGACGGAAGTTTACAGACATACAATAGCATGCCCATGTGTGGTTGTTGAAAATCTCAATCCAAAACCGTGGGCATTAATAGGCTTCCACTCTTCTGAACAGGCTCTCCACAAAATGTTTGAGCCTAACTTTAAGGGATTTGTTTCCTTCAGCCACAAAGAGCATTAGTGAGGTTGGCTCTGAAAGCGGGCGATAAGGCTCGGCTCTCAGTCATCTTTACTTTATCCCAAAGGTGTTGGATGAGGTTGAGGTCAGGATTGTGTGCAGATAACTATTTATTTATGCACCTGGCTTTGTGCAGAGGGGTAATGTCACATGGAATCAGAAAAGGACAGACTCAAAGCTGTTGCCACAAAGTTGGAAGAAGGGCTTATCATTAAAACCAAATGTATTCAAACAACGTGCAAAGACACATACTTTTGGGATGTACTTTAGTGTAATATGAAACATTTCTGGGTCAGGGTATATTTATTTATCCAATTTAACACTACTAAAACACCTGACTTTTCTTTTTGTGATATCAAGTCATTATTTATGTTAATCACAATCAGAACTCTTTTACTCGTCCTTAAGGAAAGGATTACAGCAAAAGTGACCTTTCAGATCAAAGGCAGAAATAAGAAAGAGTAGACTTAACATGTAGAATATAGAGCCGCACATGTGTAAATAAAATAAAGAGAAAATAGTACATTCCCATGGTAAACAATTAGCAGCAGCATTTTATAAAGGTAGGTGAACATATATAATGGTGTGAATTGCAAGGATTACTGCGCAATTGCTGAAATACTGTAGCAGCCAGAATAACAATAATACACTTCAAAAGAGAGTATATTGCACACAGTGTGTCTGTCTGTCTGACTTTTCCTCCTGTATCACCTCCATAGCAGCTACAATTGACGAAAGGCAATTTCATAAGAAAGGTTATATTTTCTGCATAGGACTGTTTACTTTGTTGACAATTAGAGGCGGCCGGCAAAAAAAACCTATAAATTGTAATGGAACAAGTCCAGGCATGGTCTGCTGAGGTTGTTGAAAAGCTTTCTTGGGGAATGGACACAATCACTTTCTAAAATTTAAGCAAAGTGTGTTTTCCCAAGAAGTAAATTGAAATATGTCTCAAAATGTTTTCGGCAACACACATAACAGAGTAATGCCCAAATAACTGAATACCACTACCAGACGGTACAGTAAGGAATAAAAGGTTAGAATTTATCCTTTTTTAAGTCAATTATGGAGAAATGTTAGCAACTCCGGAGGTTATAACGTATTTCAACGTTTACCAAATGACGTGTTTAAAGAGTTCCAATAGTTACATTACAACAACGAGAGAAGTGAGTCTAGTTTAAAGCTTCTTACAACACTACTTGATAGTAAAAAACATTGCAATGTATTCACTTGTAATGTGGATTCTGCCATGTTTGTGGTGTAAGATAAATGCTTGTGCTTTAGTTGATATTCTGTCACAGCGTGATCATTATTTTCCCAAAAGACCCAAATCTGAAAGTATGACTAGGAGCGTCTGTTTGTCAGCTTGACTGATTTTCTTTTCACTCCCTGCAGACAGAAGAGGACTACATCCCTTATCCCAGCGTTCACGAGGTATGCTTTCCACATAAATAACTCACACAACACGCTACATATTTTAAAGATGTCAGCACTGTGAAGGTAAACAAATGACACCTTTGTTGGTTGTCCATCACTGTCAGGTTCTAGGTCGCACTAGTCCTTTTCCACTCATCCTGCTGCCCCAATTTGGAGGCTACTGGATTGAGGGGACCAATCATGAGCCTAAAGAGCCCCCAGAGGCTGATCAACCCCCCGGCCCTACCTCCCAAATCAAACTGGAGACTAACAGCACCGCCAAAATCTACAGGAAGCAATTCATGGGCAAGGTGAGGATGGGGGAAAAAAAGAGTCTGGTGTTATGGATTTAAAAATACAGCAAAACATGTTCAATCTTGTTTATTAAATCTCTAACAACATCTTATAACATACAATTGGATTTAATTTGCTCACGTGAAATTTGTGTACTATGCTGATTTTAGATATCATAAAACAAGACAAACTGTCTCTGAGATCATTTTAAAATAAATCAGTTATTCAATTGCCAGAGTTTAGCTAATTTATGTTTAGGTTTATTTCCTAAAATAGGATTTTAGGATCTTGTCAAGTGGAAGTAAAGGCCAAAAAAACCTATTATTTAAGTGTGTGTGTGTGTGTGTGTGTGTGTGTGTGTGTGTGTGTGTGTGTGTGTGTGTGTGTGTGTGTGTGTGTGTGTGTGTGTGTGTGTGTGTGTGTGTGTGTGTGTGTGTGTGTGTGTGTGTGTGTTGTCTTTGATTTTAAAGGAGATGTTATGACACATGGAGCACGTTTAGGCCTTGCAAAGAGATTAGAAAAAAAAGCAGTTGCTACTCTTATTTTGTGACGTTTAATTTAAAGTCTGCATTCCCCTTGAACACCTTTTACATTTGTCAATACTGCTGTGCTATCAGTATTCTCCATAGGCAAAGACGTGCATGCATGCACTTGTACATACAGTTGAGAAAAAACAAACGTATATATTTGCCTTTTTTTTGCAATGTGAACTTAAGCAGTTGTACCTTGTTTCACACCCTTTTCCGAAAGGTACTACTTTTCCAAATTAAAAGACTGTTACTTCCTCTACCCCTCTCCATTTCTAATTTATTATAGCATTGTTTTTTTAATTGTCAGTTGCTGAAGGAGTATTCATCCTTGCATTTCAATTAATTCTGCTTATCTGCCCCCAGGAACACTTTAATTATTACACCATGGATGCTGCCCTGGGCCACTTGGTCTTTTCCATGAAATATGATGTCATTGGGGATCAGGAGCATCTGCGCTTAATGCTTCGGTACAAATTCCTATTATCTTTGTCCCTGACCTGTTTTCTCTATTTATGCTTATTTTCTCTCTCGCTAGTTCCTTCCTTATCATAATACCTTACTTTGCAATATCTCTGCCTTCACTCTATTTTTATTTTCTTCATTTTCCCTCCATGACCGTTTTCTTACAACCTTTGCTTCAAATATCCATGTAATGCAGTGATTTGTGGCATTTACTCCCAAGCCGACCTATTCCATATAGAGCATTTCCCACATGACAGTTTCAGATGGATTTTTTTTTTCAAGAATAGTGTTAAGTCAAGCAAAAATGACACAGAGGGAAAAGAGCATCCTCAATTTCCACTGAATTTAAAAATGTATTTTTCTGCTTGATTGCTGACAAAAATAAGTGTTTGCACCACCAGAAATACAAATGTTCGTCAATTTTATCTTCAATAACGTATAATTTCTGCAACTTGTGCTCACTTTAATTCGAAAAGTGACTACCCCTCATTCACAGCATTTTGTTTTTTAATAAATATACAATCTTCATCTCAGGAAGGGCTTCAACAACTGGTTTTACTTTTAAGTTACAGTCAGGTGAAAAGGTAACCTTTTCAACTCAACTAATACTGCTTCTCGTGACATTCAGCTATATAACAACAAGACATTTAGAAACACAACAAAATGCATGCCAGGGTTCAATACATATTTGTGTATGTTCTGGTAGTAGTGTAATATTGTAAGTATAAAAATAACTGTTAAAATATGTCTGTGGTAGAGCACAACACTGAACCTTTCTGTATAAATTACTTTAAAATCTGTGCCACCAAGTACTCTACAATCAGCACACTATTCATCTATGTTGCACAAGAGTAGCAGCTCCCACCTGCTCACCCACAAAATCCTGCTTCACATTCTGCTATAGACAGACAAGGGGGAGTGAGGCGCAACTCAGCGCACCATATAACCTGTGAATAAATTTTAGCACCAAAGAGTCTCCACTCCAGATTTTAATAGCTGCATTCCGTCTTTGTTAATGGAGCTTTAGAGTGGATGAGCATGTTGGCAGGTAACACTCAGCCCACAATTGTTCACATAGTGATGTTTTCCACCAGGTCACCCACAGTCACCCCAATCACCTTCAGCTGGTGTAGTCAAAGGCACTGACTCACAGTCCAAATGTAAAGCATCTGTAGAAGATCTACATTATGAGTCATAAGTCTTGTTTAATACACTGTAACACACCAAGGCATATTTTTTAGCATAGAGAATGATTACATATTGCTAGGACGTTCAGCAAGCCCCACTCTTCTTAGCCTGTAGTCTACAATGATAACTTTGGCAGAATAACAATCAAACATCTTAATAAAAATGGCACCTTGATTCCAGATAAAGGCACAAAGGCACAATGTTTCTTTTAGCTAGCGGATTAAGCTAACATTAGCACCACAAGTTGGTTGAAAATGCTAACTGTTTACGGTGTACAGCCAACTCATTTTAAAACAAGGAACTTCTAAAAAGAGTTCTTGAATATGCAATTCAGGACTTCATAGAAACAATGTCAGTATCTTCACTAGTTTTGGTAAATAATAAATTAGCATTGTTGTCTAGCTACCACGTAGTGAGGAAATTGGCAACGATACAGTGGATGTCCTTGTGGAGTTAATTCAGTTTTTTAATTATATTATTATAATAGCCTAACTTGTATCCCAACAACTTAGTCTTTCATAATTAGTTTCAGTTCTCAATGTGGCAAGGTTTTTGTGGTATTGTTTAATGTACCTGTCGGATAGCGCATTATTCCACCCTCTCGCAGCGAACTTAGGTTCAAACACATCATAGCGTAGAAAAACATTATGCTCCCAGCTCCATAGCCTACAACATCTATAGGAAAGGTCCCCTTTGAACTGGTAATAATTAGCATGAATGCTCAACATCAAAGAAAGAAAACATTAAAGCAGGAGGATTGCTTTGGATTAGTTAAACCAAACAGTGAGTATTTTGACTTTTCAAGCTGTTTGCCTTTCAGCACAAAGATAAAAACCTACCATGATGTGATTCCAATTTCCTGCCTCACCGAGTTCCCCAATGTGGTTCAGATGGCCAAGGTAAGCAGTTGTTATCACACAGAATACAAAGTCACAAACTGTATTTCAGTGCATTTTCATTCTGTCATTATCATTTTTTGGGTTAACAGCTTGTTTGTGAAGAAGTAAACGTGGATAGGTTTTATCCTGTCCTCTATCCAAAGGTAGGCATTTCAAAAAGAAAATTATCTCTTGCTATCAACCAACATGACACGTCCATCTCATGAAGCTGGATACTTGCTGCTCTCTCGTCCTCAGGCATCAAGGCTCATTGTCACCTTTGATGAGCATGTGATCAGCAACAACTTCAAGTTTGGGGTTATTTATCAAACGTTTGGCCAGGTGAGTGAGCTTCAGAGATACCACTGCTAATCTTTGCTTTTGTAGTATGTGTCATTCCTCCTGAAAATGTCCTTTTCTTCAGACAACAGAAGAGGAGCTGTTTGGGAACATGGAAGAAAGTCCCTCCTTTGTGGAGTTCTTGGAGTTTCTGGGCCACAAGGTTGAACTTCATGACTTTAAAGGGTTTGGACACTTTTAAGATCAATTTCTTTGAGTGTTTCTCTGCAGCAGATTTAAATGATGTTGCTTAATTCTTAGTATAGCTCTTCACCTCATGTCTGCCAGAAACAGGCCATCATTCACTTTGCTATTGATCAGAGTTAGCTTAAAAAAGCGCTTTAGAGTGTCTTGATATTTGCAGGGTTGCTGACATTGTGATTGAGTAGGCAGAAGAAGTGCCCTTGGCATTCCCTCAATGATGGATGAGGGTGGATCGGCTGGGTCCTTAGAGAGCATGCTCTTGTGTTCCACTCCTTACACAGCTTTGTTCGTCTCTTTTCCATCTTCTCTCTTTTCATCTCAGTCCTCTCTTTGACTTCACTGATTATAATCTTCTCTTCTCCTCCATTCTATACTCTTCTTTTTCTTGCTTCTTCTTTGCTTTTTAAACCTCCACCTCTTATTTTTCTTCTTCAGGTTTCGGGGTGGACTGGATGTCGCTCATGGGCAGACGGGGACCGAATCCGTCTACACAACTTTCCATAATATGGACATAATGTTCCATGTGTCCACCAAGCTGCCTTACACGGAAGGTGACTCACAGCAGGTATAATGACATTCCAATGATTCATTACCAGGGTAACTTATATGTGTATTCTTGGTAGTTTTCATGGCCTTCACTAATTCCTTTATAAAGTTCTCCATGTAAATCCTCCACACATCAGATGAGAGCAACAGCTGAAATGTCAATGCTTTAAACTCTACATTTTATGATGGATTCCTATGAAGCAAGACAAATCATGTGATGCTCAATCTAAACTAATACACCAATAAGCAGGGTTAAAGGAATAGTTTGACTTTCTCACTTTATTGTCACCGAGCCTTCGCAGCAGCTGGCCCCAGGCTCTGGAACACTCTGCCCCTCCATGTGAGGTCGGCCCAGACCCTAGGGGTTTTTTAATTGACACTAAAGACTCACTTCTTCTCTCTGGCCTTCTAGTCAGAGCGTAGTACGACTCATGACATTTCCATGTGTTTGATTTTTATATTTGCTGTTGTAATTTGTTGTCTTCTGTTGCTATCGCAGTAAAGTGTTTTTTATTGAATGTACTGTACAGCACTTTGGCTCGACCAAAAATCGTTTTTTAAAATGTGCTATATAAATAAAACCTGATTTGATTTGATAAATAAAACCTGAGTAAGATAAAAAGATTCCACAATCTTTCCGAAGGAAATAAAAACTCTTACCTCTAATTAACCCTAATCTATTGGTACTAAAGCAAAAATGTGAAAAATGTTGAAATACAATCCTCTCAGCTAAGGTTAATTACTTTTTCTTGGATGACCCCTATCTTCCACAAGTTTCAAATGTTAACTTTGTTTTTGTCTAGATTAAATACAAAAATATGTCCATTAGTGCTGGTAGGAAGATTGTGTTTTTGAACTTTGGACAGCGCAAGGCCAGCAGTTTTTCCATTTTCAGGCTCACAGTGAGATTGGTATTGATGTTAACTCTTGGCTACAGCAAGAAAGCAATTTATCTTATATCCTAAAACTATCACTTTAATTAATGAGCATGCATACTTTGAAGGGGCCCTATTATGCTAACATTAAGGTTCATATTTGTATTGTGTGCCTATACTGTGAAATGTTTACATGCTTTAATGTTCAGAAAGAATAACAACATTTCAGCCTTTGCAGACCATTCGCATGCACACAAACCCATATAACACACTACAGGAAAATGAAAACCCCAGAAAAGCACAATAGGACTATTTAAAATATGTTTATTTTCTTCTTTACTTGAGCTTTTCAAGTAAAGTGCATTATTCTAAGCAATCACATTTTCTTAGGTCTGGTGTCCTCACTTGCCGTACTGTTGAAGAGACATTTAATTGTTTTGACAATTTTCCAAAAGCATATGCAATGTTCTTACTGGCACGTTTCCCTGCTGTTGGTTTTTGTGGCTAGAGACTTTTATCTCTTTGATGAAATGTTGCAGTAAGTTGCATTAGTCCTCAGCTCTGCACTGCCTCTTTGAGTGGTTTGAACTTTGTCACCACAGTAACACTGCACAGACTGTCCACATTGCCTAGGCAAGAAGAGAAACAGAGGACATAAACAACACCCACATAACATGATTCATGAGGGAACTCAAGAAAAAAGGCAAAGTGCAACCTTAATAACATAGCATTATCTCAGGAGGGAGAAGCTACAATATTAATGCAGCCAGATCTAAGTGAATGGGATTAGATTTGAGCGGATGTATGGCATTAACAGATGTCAAGTGTCTCAGTCCAGCCCCACGCTTACTGAGTTAGCTTTTTAAGTGTCTGACTGTCCTTGATGAGTTTGGTAGTCCATGTGCACAGAGAAATGGGAGGAATGTTATTTGGCTTTTCTGAGCTAAGAAAGCCCCTGTGCGTAAGTAAATATCAAAGCTGGCAGCTAATAAGCTCAGGGATGATGCAGTAGTAACCTGGCTGCCCTGCCTCTACAGCCAAATATAACCTGTCTACGGTCTGAGACATACATTTTAACAAAAATAACTTTATCATTAGATGTATTAAAATATGCGGTCCGGGTGAGGCTGTAATTTTCTTCACAAATGACTTGCTGCTGATTTATGTCTGTCAAATTGTAACCTAAATTCTCTTCAAAACTTTATTTTCCTGTGAAACAATGCATACGTATCGCAAAAAATAAGAGAATAAGGAACTTTTGATTAGGATAAACGTCTGGACCATTTGCACATTTAATATTTAATATTGAGTTGTTGGACTCCTACCAAACAGTTCTGACTTAAAGTGTCTGGTTGTTATGACTGCTATGACTTCAGCATATTACGAAATCTTGCCAGCACCTGAAACAGATGGATGATTGTTCTCATGTGAACAAACAGACTGTCTTTAACAGTCAGTTGCTGTAAACTTTACAGCAACTGACAAGTAATTAGACTGCTAAATGTGGAAGAATAATCTATAAACTCCAGAGTAAATGTGCACAGACTGACACTACAGCTACCAGGTGTGAGGAGCCTTTGTGAGATGTCTGGACTTCAGTCTGATGACTGACAGAGGATAATCAACTCATGCTGCTGCAGTGCAGGTGTCACAATGTTTACTGAGGAGGATCATCAGAACTGGGGCTATTTTTGCCAACACTGCCTGCACCGAGAACATTTATGACTGAGCAGATCTGTTTTTCGAACTGTATCCGTTTGCAAAATCTGATATACCTGCCTCAGCTTCCATCCTGTGGAGTGATTTGGGTTCATCTCGGATGGCTGAGCAGAATATATATGTTGACATTCGGATGTCCACTACTATTTCATGGTTTGACTGCTAGTATGAAAACATTTCTGGGAAATGATTACATACAGGATAATCACCCCAACTTCTATAAAGTCCTTTTAATGTATAGTCATAAATTAAATTGACAATGTTTTACAAAAAGTAATTTGACACTTGAGCCGTCTTTATAAGAATTCCAAGCAAAAGGCAATGAGGTGACAAAATTCATATTTCAGCAGAGGAAGAAGGTGCTCCTAATGCTTGACAAGTTTAAAAATATATAGCTTGGATAGAAACCTCACACTTTGGCACAGTCACACTGTCCTCCAAGTACACGAGCGTTCTTTTGGCAACCTTTTACTTTTTGGCAACAAGGAAAATGCAGCTTTTAAGCAGTGACGCTATAGGACGCTGACAGTCAGCCATCTGCAGAATCTACATTTTTGTTTAATGTTGCAGAGCGTCCACTGGTTTTTGGATTCATTCACTCCCACACTATCAACAGCCTGTGAAAGCTGAGGCCTGAACTAGTCTACCCTTGTCACAGCTGCATTCATTTAAAGGGACTTCAGCAATATACTGTATACACAATAAACAAAAATGGTATAAATCACAAGTTCTTGTCACATATATGATGGAGTATACTACACTTAGAAATAACTATAGGCCCTTATAAATCGACTTTATCTGTCTTTGAGAACTGCCACTGTAAGTGATGTTGCCCCTCTGCTGTACCACGGGCTACAGTAGATGTAAAGGTGCTCTGCAGATATAACTTACTTGTTGTGTTAAATCCATAGCAAAAGTTGGCTGATAAAATTCTAAAACCAGGGTGGTATTTTTGGATTAGATTCCTGTCCACCTCTCTGCCTGGACTATATTTATCCCCAGTCAATCTGTCAGCACGAATCCTGGCAGTGATTCTGCGACCAGCTTGCTTCTGTGATTTCTCAAACTGGTAATCTCGGATGTTTCCGCCGTTGTGACTTTTGTTTATCTGTGCCATCCAGCTGCAGAGGAAGAGGCACATAGGCAATGATATCGTAGCCATCGTGTTCCAGGAGGAGAACACGCCCTTTGTTCCAGACATGATCCAGTCCAACTTCCTGCATGGGTACGTGGTGGTGCAGGTGGAGAACGCGTGTACGGAAAATGCCACATACAAGGTTGGTGCCAAAGACAGACAAAACTGTATCAAGAAACTGCGGGAAAAAATCATATTCATTCACTTTTGTTTTCAAGGAGTTTGTAATTGACATGTGCATCACGTATCTCAGTGCATCATAGCCTTTGCTCACCTGCTCTTTCCTCCAGGTGTCTGTGACAGCGCGGGATGATGTACCTTTCTTTGGGCCGGCTCTGCCTGACCCTGCCGTTTTCAAAAAGGTCAGCAGTCACACAAACTTGATTCACCTTTGCAAGCAGACATCATAAACCTTCATTCTCTCCGCCTTTCCTTCCCTTATATTTACCGTCCTCAGGGCCCAGAGTTCCGGGAGTTCCTCTTCACTAAGCTCATCAATGCTGAGTACGCCTGCTACAAGGCTGAGAAGTTTGCCACGCTTGAGGTGAGAAGTGTGTTGCAATTCAAGTGTGAATGCCTGTGAGAAGTGTGTGTGTACAACTTTGGAATAGGTGTGCACCCTACTGCCTCTATTCCTAACAGGAATTTATTTCAAGTGCCAACATAGATTTATCGTCATCTAAACATTCTTCGACAACAAGCCAGTGAGCTATAGCGCTGATGTCTATCATCATATTTTCATCACTGTCACTCAAATTTGAAATGATGAAGTAAGGTGAATTTAAGACATAGTCCAATTCCTGACCGACCTTCCGTGTCAGAGTGCGCTCCATATGTAGTCACACTCTCAGCTGAACGAGGCTCCCTTATTTCAGGTGGAGGGTGTAAATACAGCGGCCAGCTTTGGGACAATCTCCACTATCTCAGGCAGGAACAGGAAATGTCATACATTTTCAAACAGCTATTTTAGGGATATTTTTAGGCAGATTTCAAACAAAAATTATATAAAATGTAATATAATTAAAATTCAAAATACACTTTAGTGGGTTTTTTTATGTAACTCTTTTTGTTTTAAATCTAATGTTTATGATTGGTTTTTGCAACAGTCCCTGTAAATATCCGAAACATTACAATCAAATAAACAAGTCTACGGTTCTCTAGACCTGGGTCTAAAAAATATAAAAATACAATGTAACCTTAAAGTTCAAATCAACATGTCAATATTAAATGTCTCTTTTTTTGCACAGTTTACGAGTAAATATTTGCACAGAACTATTTGTACCCAGCTTATTCTGCGACATGCAGTAGGTGAAGTCAGGCCCGATGCAGAGCCACTGTTGGAGGGAGTGGAAGTGTGTGGTGGGTTGCAGGGGTCGGTTTGGAATTGGGCCTTAGACAGAGTTAGTACCTGTGCAGACTGAGTGTGTTGTTGTTGTCAGGAGCGCACACGGTCAGCCCTGTTAGAGACTCTGTACGAGGAGCTGCACATCAACAGCCAGTCCATGATGGGTCTGGGTGGAGACGATGAAAAGCTGGAGAACGGGGCCGGAGCAGGCGGAGGAGGCTTCTTTGAATCCTTCAAGGTACAGCAGCCTCCTGTTAATCTGCAACCCCACATGCATGAGAGCGAATGCACACACTTTTAGGGTGCTTTTATTTCCCTTTCCCTCTCTTGGGTGGGATTCTGGGTATTCACACATGAGAAAACAAAGCAGAGAACATGTGCAGTATCTCAAAAGAACAGCCCTGTGGCATTTGATTTCACTTGGCTGGGACTGCTGTGTTTGTACATGATGGTGTGGTTTCGGGGCTGCACGGTGTCCTGTTGTGTACGAGAGTCACTTTCTCTGACTGAGTGCTTCATCAATGGACATTAGGGTGGTGGAGCGTGGCCCCGCCGCTGAGGCTCGGCGGTAGGAGCTGTGATTGTTTGTGCCTGATGAACGATGTAATGACCCCTCATTAGGGAGCTGATGATGCAGTTTGCATGTCTACCCATGGGCAGAGTTCCCTCTGAGCTGTCTTTCCTTCTCCCTGTGACAACAAGTCGTTCTTTGCCATCTTATATACCAATTTTTCTCTCAGCCTTAAAATTATTTTATTATGCATGCAAGCATACAATATCTTTCTATAAATCTTGCACACAAATCATGTCTGTTTCTCTAACTATCAAGAGCATCTTTTTCTGTCCCTCAAATCTCCACAAATGATATGTTTCCCTCTCTTTGCCTCAAACTGTGTAAATTCTCCTATTTTCTCTCGCTGTCCTCCTTGCTCACATTGTGTCTCATCTGCCCCTCTAATTACACAAAAACACCTCAAAAGATACATAGAGATGTACAAAGCCGACACTCTCCTCGACCTCCTGTGAACCTACATTTATTTCACGCAGCTTCTCCCTCCTGCTTGTTGACTGGCACTGCCCCTAAGCGTTCAAAAATAGTCCTGCGTACTCAAATGTAAGCACAAACCAGGGGGGTATACTACGAAGCAGGATTTTTGCTTAGCCAGCTAAATTCAGGGAAAACTCCGGCTTTCCGGTCCTACGAAGCTGGTTCTCTTTTTAGCAGGCTAGATCTCCATGGTAACTTATGCTTAGCGGCTAACCTGGTCGGGACCAGGTTAGGTTGCAGGCTAAGAGCTCAACTCAGTGAAAGCACTGCCTGCTAACCAATCAGAGCTCAATGTGCGGAGTTTAAAGCGATCAAGTCATATTACAGGAGAAAGGAAATACAGAAAAGCTGCCGTTGCAGGAAAGACGGCCGGCAAAAATCACCGACTGTGTGAACGTGAACATTAATAGAATATCACCTCCCATCTTCAGAACAATCTGACTATTATAACATTAGCGTTAAGAAAGCTTACTTAAATATCTGCCACAACATAAGTAACCGGATCAGAGTAACATTAAGTAGGCCTACAGTCCGCGGCATATCACTTCATAATGTATCATATATTTCCTTATCTGAGTCAGCTGAGCCCTATCTGGCCGTGCAACACTCACAGTGTCACATACTGTATGCAGAAGTATTATTTTAAGCAACACATTAAGTTGACGAAACACTCGAGACAAATGTAATTAAAGTCAGATCCACTCGTGTTTTAGACGGGGCAGTGATATCATAAACCTGTTAATGTACGCATTCAAACACTTTTTATTTAACCAGCTGTATTCACCTTGCAGGTGGCTATGTGGCTTTTATCCTGGATAAAGTGTTTAAGTCATGGATGTTTAAAGTTTAACTTCTTATGTCTAATATTATAGTTGACTTTTCATTCAGGAAGTATGACACTGCGCTGTCAGTACGCTTCTCCATGTTTGTGATTGGTCGAATGCTCCAGATACCACACCTTTCATGTGAACGCGCACCTAACTAGATAGGACACGGCTGGCTTGAGCGATCCACTTGATAACCCGCGTCGTAGTACCGTTTAGCGAGAGCACGTATGTTTTGGATTAGGCCAACCGGCTAACTCAAACATATCCAGGTTAGGTTGAACCAGCTTCGTAGTACAGGCCCCTGGATGTGGTCATGTGTACACACAAACAAACACACATGTAAGTACACACACATTTGTTCTCCTCAGAGATTCAACACATTTATTCTAAAAATCTTCACACGTATTAACATTTCACAATACGCATCACATGTACACATAATCCCTTGGTGGTTAAAACCTAGTTAAATAAAGTTTTAATAAAAAATTAAAAAATAATAAAAGTTAGGGTGATCACAAGAGTGAGACCGCAAAGAATAATTCAAGACCCTGAAAACAGATTCAGCTAAATGGAATTCATCCATCATTAACTCTATTATCATCACCTTTTACTTAAATATTGTGACAACGTTTTCTATTAAAAAGCCCTTCCATCAATTTGTGTGAATATTTAATACAGATAAACATACCCTCATTTATGAAACTTGACCTAATTTGGATTAATGTAATTTTATTGTTTGTATATTCACATATATTTGGTATACGATCTTTTGAGAAATCGGTCGGTGAGTTGCATTTCCCCCAAAACATCAAAGTGGATCCTCTGACAGTATCTCCTCGTTTCTCTCTGTAGCGGGTCATCCGTAGCAGAAGCCAGTCTATGGACGCCATGGGCCTCAGTAACAGGAAGTCAAACACTTTCTCCACTAGCCACAGTGGCAGCTTTACCCACAATCCCGCAGAGAGCCCCAAAACCCCAGGGATTGTAAGTAACCCGTTTTGGTTCACATGAAGCCACGTATCATACATAAAGGATACAGTATACAGTATATCCAGCACAGTGGATGAATACAGGCTGCTTACCATATATTATTTCTTATAAGCTAATTACCCCTGTCAGCACATTGTATCACTTTACTCTCATTATGTTATTATTTAATGCTGATTTTCATTCCTGACATTTTTAATTTACCCTTGCATTATTCTAAAGTGGCTTCCATTATTTGCCTTTTTTTTAAATTTACGGCTCATCTTGTTCCTATTAATGATGGTTTTGTTTGGAAAATCACCATCATTAATTTCATCAATCATTCTCATCTGTTGAGATCATCTTCAAACAGGGTGACTGTTAGGTTAGAAATCAAGGATGATGTGAAGAATAGAGTATCCATCGTGGAATGAATCAGATGGTTTCCTTCTCGATGTGAGATTGTTTTAGAGCCCCGGTTAAGTCTCTATCCTCAGCCTTGAAGTGTGCTTAGTGTAACTGTATGACTACCCAGACTCCCTCCCTCCTTACTATGCTTCTGTCATGTCTGTCTGCTCCTGTTTATGTTACGACCTCTCTTCGCAGCCTTGTATATGTGCATGTGTGACTGCAGAGCATGCATGGCACAAGCCAAGGAACGCAACGCCCTAATTGTTCAAAGATGGTCTTAAATATATTTCACTTTTCATTGCCGTTTAGGATTTGTCAGTACTTTGAAATGGGACTAACTTAACCCCATGTTACAGGACTATTCCTTAAAAGCTATTCCCTTTGGATTCTGTCTGCCTTTTTTCTCCTTCTGAATGCATCGCTAAGCAACCCTGTAACCCTCAGGGTAGAAAGGGGCGACATGCCTGCTCTCTCTTTGGCACTCTATCTCCTGCTGTGCCCCTCTGTGTCGGGACCCCAGTTTGCTTTAAAAGCTTTTGACTATTTATTCGATATTGTGCTCTCTATTAAGTCGTACTGCTAGCTCTTTTTCAAGCTCCTTTGCAGCTTGCTGTTAAAATGATTTGTGCTGTTTGCATGATATCTTATGATGTGTTCTTTTCTTTTCCTCCCACCTTACTTTTTTTCCATCTATCCTCTCCTCTCTCTCTGTGCTTTCCCTGTCTTGTGTGGCTCAGTCATTGCTTGTTCCAGGGAAAAGTCCCAGTAAATATGGACGCCGAGGCAGTGCCATAGGAATAGGAACAATAGAAGAGGTTCATGTATATTTCTCCCTTCTTGTTTACTGTTGTTGTCTCTCTTTTTTCTTTCTTTACTTTCTTTTCTTTTAATGTTTCATATTTTCATAATGTAAGTGAGCAATACGTAGTTTGTAGTTTGAAATGTGCCTGTTTTATTTCCTGTAGCAGTGAGAAGTTTTCAGATTTGATAGCAATGTTTTTAATGAGAACTTCATTCATTCATGCATTTATACATATAGTACCTGAACCACATGTAATTTCACTTTTAAATTGGTCTTTAAAGATAACATAAAATAAGATCAACCTGTATTGCTCCCCTTAGGGAAACTCAGGTATCTTAGCAGCAACAGCAATGATGGTAAACACAGCAGGACACATATGAATTCACATAATAATAATAATAATAATAATAATAATAATAATAATAATAGAAATAAAGAAAGGTAAGAATATATATATATATATTTTATTTTTTAAATGTATAACGTGACTGTATAGGTTAAAATGTAATTAAAGAATAATAATAATAATAATAAATAGAAAGGAAGAAATGTAAGAAATAAAATGAAAAAAAGTGACTGTATGAATTCAAATGAATATATAATTTGTCAATTTGGAAGTGTGGGTCCAACTATATACATTATAGTGCAAGTCATAGGTACATACAGGGCCAGTTGTTTTGAGTTTTAATGCGTTCTTATTAGGCAGTCAAGCCTTTATTGTAGAGCCTGATGGCTACTCTGTAACAGAACAGTAAACATTTTTTAAAAAAACACTCCCACTGATGTTCTTTTACATAGTCAGTGTGTACTAGACCTTTTTAATTTTTAAACTCCACAGTCTGACCTTATAATTTTAAATTGTATTTGAATATTAATATTAACTAATTTCAGAATCTCAGAGCAGAGTGGATTTGTAAAACATGTTTCTTAATGTGTCACAGGATTAATCAAATCATCAGTCTATAATTCATTTTGCCGTGTGCACATATTTCCCTTCAGTAGCTTAATGTATCATATGCTTGTGAATGATGACACTACCCCCGATCGTGTGTCTGACTCTCCTCTCCCTGCCCACCGTCAGTCATTGATCATTCCTGGGAAAAGCCCGACCAGGAAAAAGTCTGGCCCATTCAGCTCCCGCCGCAGCAGCGCCATTGGCATCGAGAACATCCAGGAGGTCCAAGAGAGGAGGTGAGAGGACAGAGCACCGCTGATCCGCAGCGAGTGGGTAGTGAGGACAGAATAGTGTTGCAACAGATGGAAGCAAGGCATTACAATGAGGAAATTAGCCATTAGAAGGCACACTGTTAAAACTGGACACATTATGAAAGACTCTCTATTTAAGTGCCTGTGTACACACTTCTGGAGTGCCTAGTGAGCTAACATGAGAATCAACAATCCTTAGGAGCTTCCCTTCCTATGTCACATGCAGGCTTATAGAAATAAGCCCCCCATCAAACTATCTCCAACAACTGCTATAGAACTAACTTTTCAAGGGTCTACCCTTTGTTTCTGGCCTGCCAATGAGAGCACAATGGACTTTTCCAGGAGGGGGGCTTAAACAGACAGGCACTTAAAGGAAGGGTGATTACTCGTATATTCAGACAGACAATGAGTGAAAGTGTTTTTTACTTTTATTGGAGATCTTATTATTGAAAGGGAGAGACAGAGGGGAGGACATTGCCTGAAATGCTCGGCCGGCTCAGGATTTGACTGACTTACTAGGCAGTGGTGACCGCATTTTGGCCGCCAGCTCCTACCACTGAACTGTCCGGCGGCCAATCAAGTGTTTTTTAAACATTAAAGCATGTAAACATGTTTTTTTGGGGGGGGGAAGAAAGTATGAGACTGAAAATGAGCAAATTAAGTCTTGCAAGCTCTTTTTGTTGGGCTGTTTAGAGAAACAATGGGGATTTGAAATGCTTTACTGTAGTTGTTGTTCCTTGTGGGGACATTAACAGCAGCTGGGGTTGCCTAGGATACGTGCATGCAATTGTCAGATAACATGCACCCACATATGAATTACTATCATATTTTTTGTAAATCTGAAATGTGCATGGAAATAATGTGATGGCCAAATAAACAATCTCATTAATGCATTCAGTAATATCCAGACAAGCTTACCTGCTGCTGAATAAAAGTACATTGTGAAAAAACATACACGTTCATACATGAACCGAAATATGAAGTGCACTTAGAGACTCCCACACAATCCATTTAGATAAAATTGCCTTCAACTTGTTGTTAAAATGGGGACTTGTATGTTATTTATATGTGTGATGCAGCAGTTGATGTGCATGTCACTTCAATGGGAAAACAAACTTTAAACAAAAGTTAAACAACAGTCTGTGGCAGTTAAAGGCACATGATCAGAAGATATGAAAGTGTTAAACATTCCTCAAGAGTTTGTCTAATGTGTCATCATATGAAACTGACTGCATTTTCATATGTCCATCTCCATTCTTGCCCTGAAGTCGAGAGGTGTCACCCAGCACCCAGAGGACACCGGAGGGCATCCACTTCTTTCTGGAAAACAGACCAGACAACTCCTCCAATCACAGCTCTCCTGAATTCCCTACTACTAGGAACAGGTGAATATTATTTTAATCAACAATATAATAGTATACTTTATTATAATTACGTACATTGACAAGATATTTGTGATGAATGGTCCCTTGGGTCGGTCAATAGGGCCATTTACTTAAATTAAGCTACACAATTCACCTTATATTTTTCAAATTGTCTCTAAAATTCTTGTTTATTGTTGTTCCAAAAACACTCCCAAAACTAAAGTTAATGTGAGACAATATATTCTAGAATGTACTATAGTGCTGAGTGACATGTTTAGCTGGAAAACTAGTTTACTTGTTCTTGAGTATTGCCAAGTCCTTGATGAAATCTAATTTGGGGGTTGCATTAACTACAGAACAGCTTTTTAGATTACGCAATAACCTGGCACAGACAAACACACTGCTGTCACGTTGCTTTAAAGTGCTACCTGAGGTGCTGTGAAATGAAGATGATGAATTAATTATACTTTTGGAGGGAATAGTAGAACAAAAATAAAGAAAACATGTTGATTGTCCTACTTTAAATGCATTTAGCGTATGGGAAACACAGGAGTTTGTTGCGGTCAGAGTGACCCAGGTGTGTAGTTTGGCGATGTGTTGCAGGGCGCCGTCCATCCCCGAGGCGCAGGACCTTTCCCGCTCTTCCTCCAACGCCAGCAGCTTTGCCAGCGTAGTGGAGGAGCACGAGGCAGAGGAGGAGTACGACACCGGACTGGTGGGTGGAGACAGGCAGAGAGACAACACATAATGAAAGTACATATATGCATGCCACTTCCCAAAAACCAAAACCGCAGGCAACGTCTCACAGCTGATGACATATTTATCATTCAGCTCATGTTTACTGTGGGGAATAATAAGCTATTAATCTTGTTCCTTTTTGGTTACCTTAATGTGAGAAGGTTTGATGGATTTAACTTCATCCCAGTAATGTCAGGTCTCAACATGAATCCCATAGTAATCTATATATTTTTGCTTACGTTCATTTGCATGTCAAAAGTATAGAAGATGCCAATACTGTTTTGGAGTAGAGCTGTGGTTATAATTAAGCTGTCAGCATTTCCTTTAAAACATTTCTGGTAAAAAATATTACATAACTTCCTTTACCCTTCCTACAGGAAAGTGCGTCTTGTGTTACGCCACTCAAGGGAGAGTCATTTACGTACGGCTCAATGGAGGACAGTTCGTGCAGTGCAACCCAGGGGAGTGTTCCAGGTGAGTTAAGCAGTAAAGAGCTCATATTTCTGGGACAGTGATAGCCTGAAGGTGTGAGAGACAAGTTCACAAGGGCCCCATATCAACACTATCTGGGGAAAATCTAGATGGAGCGGATGTAAGAATAACACTCTCCACATCCCGAGCAATTCATATCCAAACACCCTTGAGCACTGATCCTCACCTTAGCTTCATTAGTGGAACTCACTGCCAACACCAGAAGGACCAGTCTGTGTTACAAACTCTTCTGAAATTAATATATTCTAAAATGTACATTATTGCAGACTGATCTGTGGTTTCCACACAGTTGCTGTTCTTTTGAAATGACTGACGATTCACTCTAGAACGTTATTCTCTTGCATGCTTGGATATCCTTTTTGTGATAGAACAGCTGGCAGCATTATGTGCTTGAGTTTATAAACTATGACAGCGACGCTTGTGTTGCCTCTTTCCCAGCAGCGTCTCGTCTGCAGCAGCAACCGGATGGAGTGAAGAGCTCGGAGCCCAAAGGGACAGACAGCCGGCCCAAGACAGAGCGCTCCTCATCGGTGAGACAACCTGCTTGTCATTCTTCATTAGGGGACGCTCAGATGGTCCTCCATGTTTTACAAAGTCACTGAAAGAATGTTCCTTTGTGTAAAAGGGCCCTATAGGAGTGTGTGGCAGAGAAACTCCCTCTGCTTTGAACTTTGGGATTTTTGAAAATGTCAACTTCAGTACTAGCAACTTCTAATGGGTCGTTGTTATATATTTATTTGTTCCCTGTTTTATGATATTTCATAGACTAAAAAGTACATCAACAAGATCGTTACAGTTAGGAACAATACATCTTTGAGCTAAATGCTAAATTCCTCCTAAGACAATGCTCTGCAGATGTTAAAAATGTATGTTAACATAATTTAGTTTATCGTGTTATCATGCTAACATTTAATAATTTGCTCTAAATTCAAAATACATCTTTGGCTGATTGTAATGTCTTTAGTTTTGCAGTTATTGGTCTCATTTTGACCTGATGTACACTTAAGGGATCATCAAAGATATTCACAATCACCAGTCAATAATATCAATCTTCTGGGAACCGTGAATGTTTAAAAAAAAATCAGTGTTTAGTTTGAAATTCGAGTCCGGACGAAAGGGGTGAACGGACTGACTGTTCTACATTGCCATTTATAAATTCATGTGGAAAGCATAGAAAACCAGAATAGACCAAATAATCACTGAAGAAAATGAAAATGAACTGCAGTGTTACATTTGTCTGTATTAACTATGCCCTCTTCTTTTTTTATGTCTGTATGCAGAACTGTTAGCCACACTGCTCTGATCACTGCATCAACGTCCATCTTCCGGTGAGACATAATGTTGACTAGTCATAATTGTACGACTTAAAGATTTGTTTTAACCCTACATTCACCTGATCCTTCTATTTTGTGTGCGTAACATTTTCCTCCTTTGTCTCAGCATTGCCATTAGAGGCATCTTTAACCAAAAACGAGCCAAGGGAACCATGTGAACCACTGACGCAGAAGAGGAGCCGAGTCAGAAGGCAGATCAAGAGACTGACAGATCTTTCTTTGTATGTTTGGCATGGATCCTCTGACTGGACATGAACCAACCTATCGTCCCTCACTCCAGCTCAATGGGGAACCCTGTAAGCTCAAAGCATGGGAAAGGACACCTCCACAGCCATGCAGCATCATTACTGACTGTCATCCATCAGCTGGCTTAGCAGAATAAGCCTGGCTGCTGTATCATTCGTCAAGCCAGTAAGCTCTGAAAACAGATTTGTGCTGTTGTGTGTCGTCTTGAAAGGATCAGGGTAAGAACTGGGGTTAAATAATGGGGAATGAAATCATAACCGATGAAACAACTGCTGTTTGTTTTAGCTTGTTAAACAGTCTATAGAGAGGAGAGTTGCACTAGATAGAAACATGTTTTTTTAAATGTCAACCTCACATCCCAGTGTGATATTGTACATGGGTTTAACTTTGATGTACCAGGTGTGTGAGGCTGTCTGTCAAGGCCACTTTTTGTGTTTTATTGGTCTTTTCTTCTTCTGAGTATTCTGCTGTGGATATTTGTCGTGTTTTACGATAGCTTCGGTCAACCTGTCATGTTTTTAACGGAGTACTTCTACAATGCTGTTGTTGGTGGCTGTAATAGGATCAGTCGCCTCCCTCCTAGGTGGGTAATGGGTAATATAGGGTACGGTAAATTGTGTCTGCAATTTTTTATTCAAAATTGTACTGTAATACAGTAATTCTGTAGAAAGAAATACGATAGAGATGCTACTTAGTAAAAAAACAAGAGTAAAAAGCATAATTACTGCAGTGCTCCAACCAGCAACATGCATCCTCAATCCATACGTCAAGGTACTGCTGTTTAGACCTTTGTCCCACACCACTTGTTGACTCGATGTCTGTGTACAAGTGTGTGTGTACAACGGTACTGTGCATGGTGTAAATCTGCTTGCCAAAAACCTCTGTACACTGTTGCCATGCTTGACATAGAGGTGTTGTCCCTGTGATTTGTGTTTTATCAGAAACCAGCCAACATCTCCAGATGCAGTGCACATCTCTGATAGAGAGACAAATGTTCAGTTTCCTACTTTATTTGTAAAGTGTAATACGTGTAAGTACGTGACCTAAGCACTACATTTGCAGATGTATTTCGTATGGCGACCTCTTGGAAAAAAAAGGTCAATATGCTGAATATGAATTTCACTGTGACTCCTCCTGAAGTTGCCTTTAAAATGATTGTGTCCTGCGAGCTGCTTTGAAGGAGGGTCATATTTGAAGGCACTGTGTTGCCTCCAGATGGCTTGAATGTAAAAACTTAGGCAGACATTTATTTATTTGTACATATCTGCCCCGATGAATGGTGAACTGTGTTATCTCCTGACTGCAGAAAATGTAAGTCTGAAACAGCTCCCCTTTTCAGAGCAGAGAAGCTTATTCATGTTTTTCAATTTATGATGAAGGAAATAACTGACACATGGAGTTTATTTCAGTAATATGACTGAAGCGGACATGAGATTTATTGTCTTTGGTGATTTAAAAACAGCATTTCCAGTTTGTGAAAGTGCAAAAAGGTTGAGACACTGGACCAAATGCAAAACAACCCAAAGTGGGTTCATCAAGCTACAATCTTTTGATTTTTACTTGAACAAGGCATTGAAAAGATATGAGGATACATGTTTGGTAATAATTCCACATATGTGTATTACAGCATCTGAAATTGATTCATGAAGAAAATGTCAAATGATTTTACTTTGGACTTTGGAAATGCTTGAGTAGATGATGTGCGCCCTCTTGTGGCGATGTAATATTATAGCATATTACTATGTGGTACCGTTCATCTAACTGTGCTTGCTATAAACCACAACAAAAGGAGGGACCCTTCTATGTGCTCCATTCAAATGATTGTATTTCTGTTCTTGTCTGCTTAAGCCCTTGTTCAAAAGACATGTTTGTAAATATTGCTTTACATATTTTTTTGTAAATAAAGCCACCAAAAATGTTAATTAAAGAAGAAGATGCATATTAGACCGAGCCCTTGGTTAATTGTTCCTACATAGGTGATAACTGTGTAATTTGTTTTGGGGGCGGGGAGATTGGCACGCATTGCAAGATTATGAGAAAATAAAGCCTTTCATGATTTTAGAGAAAATGTAAGGCAAGAAAATGAGAGGGGCTGCGTTTGTTTTCTTGAACCTGAATCTGGTCCTCTAACCCTTCTCCACCCACGGATCAGTTTTTATTCACATCTCCAGGTTCCACCACTTGAAGTCAAACGGTTCCCTGCGGACGTTGGAGCCGCAGTGCACTTCTCCCAGCTTTTTGTGGTAGGAGGCGAAGTCGTCGATGAAGGTGCAGCTGAGACCCAGGCCCTCCATCAGGGAGCACATCTCCACCTCCAGGGCACAGCGTCCGTTCACCTTGGGGCCAAAGGGCTTCGGAATGCCCAGGTTTTTCCCCAAGACGATCATGTTCACCTGGAAAGAGACAAGATCGATCATAAGACTCACGGTATCGTCTCTTAGATTTATTTCAAACAATCACATACTGTATAAGCAATATGTCTGCACACACCATGTCGGGGTAGTAAGCCACTGCTCTGAGCTCGGTCTCAGCCTTGTTGTTGTCGTTCTCCTCCATCAATAACTTGAAGAGGATTGGCAGGTCGATGATGTCCTCGTCGTCCAGGCCCAGCTCTCGCTTCAGCACATCTCTGTTCCAGTCAATGCAGCTCTGAGAGAGCAGGCAGTAAAAAATACATCATCCATTACACAAACTATACAACACCCAATTTGTATCTGTAACCTCTTATTAGCGAAGGGTCTCACAAAAAACAGTGCTTTAAGCAAAAGAAAAAATTAATTTTCCTGTACTCAAGATCGAGGGGTTACGTATTGTAACCCTAGTTATATAAGCACAGGCGGAGCCCTCTACTGGACTCTATGGGTACTACCCTCAATCATGCCAATGCGAGCATTCACCTACTGAGATATCTATAAACGTAGCCCGCACAAGCTCACCGTATATAAGGCGGCCACGCCTCCTGAGTCCTGACTGTCATCCTACACCCTCTTCAGCGAGCGGCATACAGACAGGGCCCCAAGTAGATGGCTCCGCCTGTGCTTATATAACTAGGGTTACAATACGTAACCCCTCGTTATATCTTACACAGGCTCCGCCCTCTACTGGACTCTATGGGAGCCCTGATGCATAAACGCCCTGTTGTCCAACAACATCGACCCATCACACTGCCCCTGACCGGCTTTTGGTTAACAGCCACTGCACCGCAACTACTTCTCCCTCAGTTATGACCGTGGAGAAGTCGGGGCCGCAGCTACTTGGCTGGTAGTGCAAATTCAGACAAGCTTACCTCGTGAAGAGTGTACATGGAAAATAGTGAGGAAGGCTCTCCCAGCCCTGCATGGGGCTTACCGTGCACCATGTTTCCCGGGTCCCTAAGAACGTTAGTTTAGCTGCTAGAGGCTTCGACTGTTGGGGGGGGGGACCTTACAAACAGCCTTCCTTCTGGCTGTTTGTACCTGTGTACTCTCATGTTCCGATTAACCCAGCTTCCCCCAAATCTCTTTTTTTGTGTCTATATATACGCCGGGATCCTGAGTCAAGGCTAATCCTGTTGCTGTGGTCGTGTGTCCTGGATCCTCTATCCTGAGTACTGGATCTGAGTCCTGGACTTCGAGTCGTGGCTGAACCAGTCTCTGCGGTCCTGCCTGACTCTCATCATACTACTTCCCTGATGGCTCCCACAGGATTGCTGACATCCTCGTGGACTCATATTCTTATTATAGACACATGCATTTCCAAACCTTTGGTCTTTCCAAACATTTGGTCTACCTACGTTGTAAAATGTATTATCTCTTCGATTTACACACGGCATCTATTGCACGTCTGTCCGTCCTGGGAGAGGGATCCCTCCTCTGTTGCTCTCCCTGAGGTTTCTCCCATTTTTCCCTTTAAACTGTGGGTTTTCTCTGGAAGTTTTTCCTTGTACCATGTGAGGGTCTAAGGACAGAGGGTGTCGTATTGTCATACTGATATTCTGTACAAACTGTGAAGACCACTGAGACAAATGTAACCTTTGTGATATTGGGCTATATAAATAAACATTGATTGATTGATTAATGGTAGTGCACCATGTCCCCCACACTCAGACACGCTTACCTCGTGAAGAGTGTGCATGGAAAATAGTGAGGAAGGCTCTCCCAGCGCTGCATGGGGCTTACCGTGCACCATGTTTCCCAGGTCCCTAAGGAGCACGGGGAGATCGTAAGTGCACCATGTCCTCCACACTCAGACACGCTTACCTCGTGAAGACAGTGCATGGAAAATAGTGAGGAAGGCTCTCCCAGCAAGCACAGACGATGAGAAGGAGCCAGACATGTCCAAGAGATAAAACCTTATGAAGGGGCCTGGCGTCGACCAAGACGCCGCCGTGCACATGTCCTCCACACTCACGGCGTTGGATAAGGCAGTTGACACAGCCATACCCCGTGTAGAGTGTGCACGGACCCCCGTGGGGAAGGCTCTCCCCGCCTGTCCGTAGGCATGTGAAATGCACTCGCAGAGCCATCCTGCCAGGCGTTTCTTGGACAGAGCTTTACCGGCCACACCACCCCCAAAGCACACAAACAGCAGTTCAGTGCGCCTAAAGGCAGCCGTGCGCTCCACATGACATGCTAGCGCACGCACCGGGCAGAGGAGGTACAATCTAGCCTCCCTGGCCCCAATATGGGGTGGAAGATTAAAGCCACCTAACTGAATAGCCCTTGACCTGAACAAACTCCTTATTCGGTTCGGTCTGAGTGTGGCCCCGCCCAGGAGGGGGAGAATGAGGTGCAGCGGTGGAAAGGCGTAGAGCAGCTTTCTTGGTCATGGCTCGTGTGCAAACGCGTCCACCCCCAAGGATTGTAGAATTCAAACATCGAAAGGCAGAAAAAGTGATGCAGAAGGCCATACAAGCTCATATAACAGGGCTGCTGAGTCCTAATGCACATCAAATATGTTGGAACTTGGTAGGGAGAGTAGACAAATGGCCTTCATCATGAAAAGTGTTCATCAGGAGCTTTGAAGTGGTCAAGCGGGGGCATATTCAGACTAACAACAGCAATGTCAAATGTTAGTCTTGAGAGCAGTGGAAACTTGTTGTCAGAAGGGATGAATCCTTTACTTCATCTGGCTTTCTGTTGAATGAATCTTACTTTGACAGGATGCAGGGGAAACAATGTTAAATGCATGCTGCCAACTGTAAAGATTTATGGTCGGGGCTGTTAATTGAGTTTTTCTTGATTTATGCTTAGACCCTTATTTACGATAACGGGAAAATATTGATGTCAAAGCACCCTGACTTTACCCACATCCAACACTTTTTAAATAAACAGAAACACTGACAGTGAGACAGTTGTTATCCCCTAACATCAATGCTTTCCTTCACTAATGCTCATTTGTCTGAATGGGAGCAAATCCTGCAGTCTGTATCTAAAATAATGCCGAGTAGAAGCTGATATAGTACTATATTAACACCTACAGTTGTGGAATGAGGTTGTCTACATTATGAGTGTAATTTCTGGCTGGCGGTTGTCTTGAGAAGGAAAATATTTTTTAATGAAAAAGTGCAGAGGTAATAAAATGTTTGTGAGAATTTTGCAATAACTTTGCAGTTAGATCTTCGGGGGATTTTATTCTCTCCACCAAAAAGTAGACAAAGCAAGCTGTATGTTGGTCTTCCTATACAATCCCACTCACCTGCACGTAGTTATTTTCAGCTGCGAGCCCTTTGTCATTCAGAATCTCATCCACTGTTTGTTGTTCTTCATCTTTCAGACCTTTTTGGAAGTGGGGAGGATAACATGATGACTGTGCATTGCTAAGAACTCATTGTGTAGTTGTTTTTTTCCAATTTAGTTTGAGACAGGCCTACCCTCGAACAGTTTGGCTTGCCCGTGTCCATCCCTCTGTAAGCCTCTGAATAGTTTGTAGCCTGCGTCCGGGCTGGCCAGCAGCAGCCTGAATCCCTGTGCACAGAAACACAAGAGACAAAGATAACAGCAGCTGCCCCATTGTCCTGGGAGCTCATTCAATCCATCACATAAAAGCATGTCGGTATCCACCGGTAACAGCTAGCAGCTTCCTGTCTCCTAACTATGCAACGTATCCTCATGTGTTTCATATCTTAAGCAAAGTTATTCCGTATTTTTCGTGCATTCTCAAATGAATGACATGCAAATTGACACGTGTTGCACAACAGCTTTTTCAAAGTAAACTTGCTTCTTCGTAGAAATGAACTTTGTAGTTTGGGTTAAAATGACCACTAATGTGGTAAAGGTAAAGCACAAAGAAGGCAACTTTTGGTTCAAAATAACTAAAGTTTCTATTTAAAAGGGATCATTTACCTTTCTGTCAGGTGCAGGAACAAAACTCATGAATTCATCTATGTGGCCGACTACAAGCCAGTCAGAGAATAAGGCAACGGGCTCCTGAACCTTCTGAGCCCACAAGAAGTCTTGGACTACTTTGGTCATGTTGCGTCCTTTAGTGGCCCTTGAAGAAAAAGACAAATTAATTAAATAATGTTGACAAGTCCTCGCCACACTTTGTTTTGTGTTCCCCTGTTACAAACGTACGTAGGGAAAGCCACTCCGATGAGGATTCTGCCCAGGGGGTAGTTTTTCCCATTGACGGTAACGGGAGGACTAACCTCCAGATTACCGAATGAGTCCAAACTGCTCACGTCTTCTCTTTGGGCCACCCTTGTCACATAGCCAAAGTCGGGGCCCTGAGGACATGCAGGTGGTTAAGGCTCCCGCTCAGACTTGAGAAAATACTCTGCTTTCAACATTTGTGTTGAAGGTTGTCCCCGAAAGGGAATTAAAATATCTGGTTAAAATCTTGAAACTTTATTTCAAGAAAAAAAGGAGTCTCACCAGCAGCTCATCGTATGGAAAATCCTTGAGACCCCTATCACGAGGAGAGTCCAGAACAACAGGAAACCGGTGATGAGGTGAGTCGATGTA